GGAGGAAATAAAAGAAGTTGAATTGAGTTCTCGTAGTGCAAAATTTATTTATAACAGAACTTACGATTTCATTGGTTTAAATCTGCTCTAGTCTGCTACACAGCCGTTTTTAGTGTCGTCACGCAACGCTCCTCGTTTGTGGGGAGGAGCGTTGTGTGACGACACTAAAAACGGCTGTGTAGCAGACTAAATCAGCTCAGGTTAGTCCATTATATTTTCGGCATGACAAATTACCATAAAATCGAGATTGTAATTCGAAACTTGCGTTGTTTTCAAAATTTGCATAAATCGGGCGCTGCAAAGAAATATTTAGGTTACAAGTGCTTCGAAATGCTGTACTTTCAGAACGGCTTAGCTTCTACTTGTTGTGCTATATCTTTCAAAACTATCGATCAATTCTAGCTCAAAACTCTCAAAGCAGCGGTTTAAATGTTAAAAGCCCGTGCCTGGTTGAAATCTTCTCTTATTTGTTTTCAAACGATTATCGACTTTGGATGGATTATTATTTTATCAGCTTCTGGTATGAACGAAATGTTTTTCTTCTCGATAAAGTTCACTCAACAAATTTAGAAAGATTTACTTGACTTTTCATATGTGGAACGAACTGACTTTTTTGTGGAACGAACTGACTATTTCATGGCACGATCTGACTATTGATTGGAACGATCTGACTTGGAACGATGTCAACGATCTGACCATGGAACGAAATGACAGGTTACCGTCATGCCCCTGGCAGACTACCAATGAACAAATTAAAATCTTTGTTACGGAAAACACGGAAAGTGACACTTTTTGTATGGAAGAGTATTCGGAAAAATACACCATTGTCGTCTGAAATTCATTGTTACGTTAAAAGTACAAAAGGTTTACTCTTAAACAGGTAACTGTAACAGTGTGGGGTTTTTACTCCAAACTTAGGTTCGTAAACAAGGGAAGGTGTATCTGTCGTCCAAGCATCAGAGCACAGGCGATTTAGGTGGAATGAGATATCCAAATAGGCTCCATCGCCCAGAGCAATTTCCCTCTTTTTTTGTAAGCAGTTTTCAATGGAATCAAACCACAATGAAATGAAGCCGCGTCCCCAAAGCTTATCATTTTCTTAAAATATTATCGAATTGTGCGGCTATCATGCTATTTCACTGTTTTTATGATTCTTAAAACTGCACTTCAGAATATTTCGAAAACGCTCTCATAGAATTTCTTCAAACTTGGAGGCAATTATGGCAGGTACATACTCCCTTAAGCGATTTCTTCAAAGAACTCCTGGTACAGAGAAACACAACGATAAATGAAAAACGTAATGGCGTCATTACGTTGCCATGGCGACTCCGATTGCAATAAAACCCAGATCATACGAAATTTTCATCTTTATATAATACAGTTGCGGTAACGTTTTTTTCCATATCTTTACTCATGCCGACGTAGTTAATGCTCAAACTTGGGAGGTAGCCCCCTCAAAAAATCCAGTCAAGCCACCTTAAAATATTGGCGCTTTGCCCGGAACACCCTAAGCGAGACCAAAATCCAAAATTTACACCCCTAAGCGAGACGACGAGCATACCCGTCTGTTTCATATGGGAGTCGCCCCCCCCCTGGGCTTCTAAGTAAGAATTTGCTCCTCTGTACATGGAATAATATCCATTTTATAGTGCTTAAAACAGTTTGAATCACAGGGTTAATTTTGGCCAATTTAAGCTTTGTACTGATATATAGAAGAATCCAGGACCTTCAGTTTATGTAGATGCTGCAAAAACAAGTAATGCTCCATACTGTCAAGGAAATGTTACAGGATTTGGGGAAAATGGCGGACAACGATGTGTCGCAATGAGTCTGTGCGCTTTTATTTACAGTAAGATAACAAAGATTACTTCAGTTGATGATATGACTCAAATAATGATTGTTGGTATTCAATTATATTCTTGTCTGTCACTGCTTGCAAGACAATCTATCTCAATGTTAACAGAATTGCCAGGAATGGTTACAGTGTTTGAGCAGTTTTTCCACCTTGAATACAGTGACAGTTATACTTGTAACATCCATCACTACTGTATATGCCACTCACAGGTTACAGCATTTGAAACACTCTTGGCACTGAACTACAACTCATTCACTTTAATGGTGGCAATTATTGGTCTTGGTATCTACAGCACTGAGGCTGGGGGATATAATGTATTTGATTCTCATGCTAGAGATATGTATCATAACAGTCATAGTGAAAGAACGTGTATTGTTGGAAATACCATCCATGCATAAATTAGTACAGTATTTTCAGACTCTATATAGGAATGAGGATATATATATATGAACTTAAAGGTGTACATATTGCCACCTTTGAACCTCATCTTTTCTCAAGCAATGTTGAAAATTGTAGTATATCAAATGTTAATAGTTA